TTTTTTTTTCTGTACAGAGTTCCGTGATTATATTTTTAATTTCTGAAAAGCCAAAGCTCATTTTTCTAGGGCTTGAAGTGTTGTACAAGAATGGGCAAACTTGAAAATATGTGTAGATAATCTAGTTCAATAATTATTTTAGCAGCAGCATGTTACCTCAACCTTCACGATGCCTTCATCGTCTCCGTTTCTCCCCCAGTCTGCGGGGCAAAGCGCTACTCTAACCAATGTTCAGGTATTTTTGTGCAGATTTGACTTTTTTTCCCCCTTCTTGATTGATCATTCACATTGAAATATCTCCAAGAACTGGCATTGCAGACCCCTTCAAATCAAAATACGCCGTCATATCAAACTAGCCAAATCCTGCCTTCGGTCCAACCTTCCGCTATTAGCGAAGAACCGATGCTTCTCGAATATGGTGTAAATGTTAAAAACCCGGAAAATTTGGAGATTCCAAGAGACATGACTGCTAACACTGCAAACAATATGTCGTTAGTTCGTTATATCACCCACTTTTCATTTTTGAATTCTTCCGCAAAATTTTTAGGGTCATGGAAGACGCGAGGCAGGGAAGCTCGCAAGCCCAAATCAGTAGTTCCGGCACGTTGGAGACGGGTGTGTATGGTTTGAATTGTTTTTGCACTTGAACGTATTCTCCGCTCTTTAGGCGCTCACAAACGAAAAACAGCAGTGCCACATCGTCGTGACGAGCTCGTGGCCCATACTGCCCAATCCCTCATCGTACCCAATGGCGTGTTGTTGGATTTAGAAGCGGATGGAGCAGCAAGTACCACATCGGTGGGCTTCCTTGATGTCAGGGCATATTTTTCTTACATTTATCTTCCAATTATCGGTCTATATTTCAATATTCAATCTAAACAAAGCTATATTTTTTTAATTCAAGGCATTAACGCTTTCCCTCAGGAAAATCTCCTTTTTGTATTGGAAGCTGCTATACACCCAACACATTCTTATTTAGCCTTAGCCTTACATTTTGGCTTTCCAGCAAGTTTCTCTATTGTCCAATATTGATGACTCAGCCATGCAATGCCTGGATCGATTAATTAATGGAAATCTTGATGAAGTAAGCGACTTGACGTTCGATTCTTTTTCATATTGACGTGCTTATGTTCGTCTAGGTATTTCCATTCTGCGATGATCATGGTGGATTGTCAGATTTTGCTGCAACCATGGACAATCCATTCCCTGCCAGTCAGATGAATGAAAATGAAACGGAACAGGTATTTTTGTAAAGCTAAAAAAATTTGCATCCCTCTTTTTGAAAAACATCTTATTAATCTTGTTGAGGAAGCCAGTACTACATATGAAGAGATGGCTCCTCCTCCACTAGATGTAGGTCCATCACATAGTCCTCCGCCTCAAGAGCCAAGTGCAAAAAATAGATCTTTCGATGATGGCGAAATCATTAGTGATGAGAGCAATCAGGTAAAGCGGATTTTATAAACAAGAAGAAAAAAAGATAAGCAAACATATGAAATCCTTTTCTTACTCTCTTTGATTGAACGCATTGAGCTGCTGTGTTCCTTAGGCGAAGGCTTCGAGAGCGAACTCCATGGAGAATGTTACATCAAGAGTAGGAGAACGAGAGGTTGAAACTCCACCACCTGCTCATAACGATTCAAGGCGTTCATCCGTGGAGTCAGGGTAAGAATTTTTATCTGATTATAGTTCCTTCAAGGATTGATTTTAAAAATCATATTCTACAGCGATTTATACTGTCCATGAGTGCCCTAGCTCTTCACATAAGCTAGTTCTTGCAATTGTCTATATAAAGCTGTCTTTAGTTGTTGCTTACTCGGCTAAACTG